TCAAGGCAGCCAAGGATACTAAAGTTGTTGATGCAAAATTCTTTATGACATCTAACAGTACTGGGATAGCTGTTTTAACGTCCACCAATCGTATATTTCTAGTAAACAACGTGTCTGAGCCTAAAGTCCGGCAAATCACTGATATACCAAGTAAATATAATATATTTATATGTTCATTGAATTTTTATCATCACAATTGTTACTTCTAGGGTATAGTCCTATTGATTGCTGGTACATGGTACATTGCGAAAGAGAGACACAAGTGATTTTGTCAAATAGAGAAGGAATATTTGTAATTCATCAGTCTCATCAGAATACTTTTTCATTTGTAAGCATAATGTTGTATAATTCACAACGTTATTGTAATTTACTTGATATGAATTATGCATTTAAAAATATCTAATTCAGGCTAATTTGTTTCTTAGAACAATTTGTTCAACAATAAGATCAATAGTGTAACAGCAATAGCTGCGTCTAGCAACAATCGACATATTGTGCTTTACTCTGATACTGGACACTTGTATATCGGTTCAATAGACTTCAGAGAGAAATATTGTGAATGCTATACAAATATGAAGGAACCTCTAACGAATATAGCTTGGTCAGTAAAGATAATTATTTAAATTCTTTAAGTTTAATAAACTATAAGGAACAATGAAATGGACTGAGTTTTGTTTTCACAGTAAGTAATTTTTTTGTTTTTAAGCTGCTGAATTTGATTCTAACATTAAAAAAAATTTTAATTTGTCGGAGATTAAAATAAACATATGAAACTATAAATATCTAGTACCCTAAATTATTATTATTGAACTTAGGAACGTATCAATTCATTTTTCTACCACTAAAACATAATAATATTTCATCTTTAGTAGTTCATGTTTTGCTTCATGAAAAAGGTGAAAAAGTGTTAATATTTAAAAACAGGCATTATAAGAACAATTTTTAATCTTAACCACTTTTATTTGTTACTGCGGATCAAAATCAATCCATTTTAGTCATTGTCTTTTTAAAGGACGATATATTAGAATTTGACAAATATTTGCAGGTGTGGCACAGAAGCTGTGGTGTGCAGCTGGAACAGTACGATAATGGTAGTGGGACGTATGGCTGATACAATAGTATACAATTATGATGGTCCAGTACACTTAGTTACGGAAATCGACGGAGTACGCGTGCTGTCGAGCAGTTCCCATGAAATGATTCAGAAAGTACCAAACGTTGTGCAAAGAATATTTAGAATTAACTCGACGGATCCTGCATCCTATCTCTTAGAAGCCTCTAAGCAATTTCAAAAGAAGAGCCACAAGGCCGATAGTTATATAGATTTAGTGAAAGATAAACTGGATTCGGCAATAAAGGCATGCATCGACGGTGCGAGTCACGAATTCGATTTTGAAACACAAAAAATTCTGATGAGGGTAAGTCGGATGTTGAGAGAAGAACGTACGTTTGTTGAGATCAAATTGTTTAATATTGTCAAGTTTTTATTAGGCTGCCAAATTTGGAAAAGGATTTAGCAAAACGATAGATTCGGAATATTATGTTCAAATGTGTAGGACTTTAAGAGTCTTGAATGCAGTGAGGCATCCTGCTGTGGGCATTCCGTTAACATATGCGCAGTATCCTTTTTGTATTCAGTTGATACATATTGTGCAGGATCTTATACATTCTTCATATTTTCTTTTTATAATTATTGCAATTAAATATTTCTATAGAAATCCTTAATGATACTAGATTTAATATTCTCACGAATCAAGTGTTACTAGACCGACTGGTAGCACGAAGACATTATTATTTAAGCATACAAATAGCACGTCACTTGCAATTACCCGAGATTGACGGGGAAAGTAGAATATTAGCACATTGGGCTTGTTACAAAGTAAGATAAATAATACGTGAAGTGGTGAAATTTTACGTGCGAATTGGACTAACAAATATATTTTCTTTTTCTACTGTATAGGTGAAACAAACGCAGTTAGATAAGGAACAAATAGCAGAAGAAATTGCTGATAAATTAGGATATGCACCTGGTGTTTCGTATAGCGAAATTGCGAAAAGAGCGGCGGATTGCGGACGAAAACAATTGGCGATTAAAGTAAATAAATATATTATACATCATATACTTTACTGCAGAGAAGAACTATTTATACTATTAGCGCTTTTTCAGTTAATTGACTACGAACCGCGAGCGCATCAACAAGTACCTTTATTATTGACACTTGGCGAGGAACGTGCTGCTCTACATAAAGCCGTAGAAAGCGGTAATACGGATCTAGTCTATACTGTCATTCTTCATCTCAGAGAAAACATGACACTTGGCGACTTTCAAGTAAGCAGTAATATTTTGTTTCAAGCATAGATAATTATATGTTTTTATAATTGATCTTTAATGCAGATGTCTATAATGCATTGTCCTCTAGCAATGGCATTATATGTTAAATATTGTCAGAGCCATAATAGAGAGACATTGCGTGATATTTATAATCAATACGACGATTTTCATTCGCAAGCGGTGTGGTTTATCACCGAGAGTTATCAACGAAAAGTTAGTACTCACTCTTTATGCATTTATATAATTGAAAACTTTTTTGTAATATCAAGTCAAGAAAATAAAGTACTTATGCTGCACATTTTTAGAATACGATGTCGAGAGACGCATTACTGCAATCGGCTCAGGAAAATTTTAGATTGGCTCGTAATGATACTAATGCGTCGTTAACAGAAGAACAGATAAAATTATTGAAGTATCAGAGATCTTTAGAGGATACGTTACACGAATCGATCGTGGGAAAGCCTTTGCATGATACCGTGAGAATATTATTATTGCGTAACGAGTTGAAATTGGCAGATAAGTTACGATCGGAGTATAAAATACCAGATCGGAGGTAATTTATACTAATTTTTTTTTTATAAAACTTTTACACTTAGTGAACTGTATATTATCTTATATAAATGATATTTTAATACAGATATTGGTGGCTAAGAATACAGTGTTTAGCAGAACAAGGTTTATGGAATGATTTGGAAAAGTTCTCTAAAAGTAAAAAGTCTCCTATTGGCTATGAGGTAACGATAAATAACACAATACATTGTTTTTGCACATATGCCGGCGGTATTGTAACTTTCAAGTCTTATAACTCGAAAAGTACTTATTAAAAAGAGGCTTTATTATAGTATTTTGAAAAGCTCTTGACACCAGCTATTAGATTCTGAAATAAAAAAGTGTTTCATTAAAAAAAAAAAAGATTCGCCATCCAAGGTCAATTTGATAAGATCAGTAAATAGATAATTTTAAATCCTACAACTTTTATATGAAACACTTTTCTCAGTAATGCTGACTTCAAGATATTTAAGAGGTCCGTGACTTTTTGTATACCCCCCCCCCCCCATTTGTTTTTGTGCTTCGTTTCGGAGGAAATCACAAAAAAAGACAAAATTTCGGAATATTGTTTTCATATATGACTTCAACGATAATGCTTCAGAGGCAGTGCGAAAGTATTTCCAGTTTGCACCGATTTCTAGACAGAAGAGTGTTGGATTAGTGAGTCATTACATTGACTAGATTAGTGTTTGGTTGCAACGCCGTCCGCACAAGATACAATGCGTACATTGCTGCAAAAGGCTAACATTTTAAACAATATCTGAATTAAGTAAATGACAGCATGAATAAATCAGTGTGAATGAATAATAAATAAATAAATAAATATGAAAATGAAAACCACGCTTTGTCTTTTGTTTTGGTGATATTCTTCAAAACGAAACAAAAACGAGTACATCTCTAAAGGATTTTTTTTCTTGCAATCATCGATCCTCTACACGCTCCCAAAGTTTGGCTATTTAAATGCGCGCGCGCGTGCAAAAAAAACGGATCACTAAATTTTAACACAATTATTTTTCGCTGAATTACCGCTATTGAAAAATATTAGAAATTTGTGCTAAAATTTTTGTGCCCGTTTTTTTGCGGGTGAGTATATAACTATATATGCATCTATTTGTTCATCAATGCGGTGAAATAATGTTTCAATAATTTCCATGTTTAAGCCGTTTATAGATGAATGCCTGAAGTATAATGAAAAATTAGAAGCAAGGAAATATTTAGCCAAAGTTAAAGATGATCTCAAAGTGAAGTATTTAGTCAAGTTAAAGTAAGTACTTAAAAGAAATGTATTTTTTTTTAAAAGATAAATAAGATTTACATATAACAATATGACTATCTGCTATAATTCTGCAGTTTGCTTAGCGAAGCGGCACAAACAGCATACGAACAAAAAGACGCTTCCGCTCTCACATTTGTGCTGGCACAATGCGGATCATCAGACAGACAATTCGTAGATAAAATCAATATGTTATTAGCTAGTCTTAAAAATTAAGGTTTTTTTATTTGTTTTATAAGAGATAAAGGCATTTATATACAATTCACAGATAATATAAAACCTAATATCTGAAACGAATGGATATCTTAAAAATAATTCTACAGATCATAGAATGTTCAAGTTATAGCTCATATAGATCCACTATATAAATTAAATATCTATTTTAAGAAATATATATCTCGCTAAGCAATAAAAAAATGTAAATCTGTTCAGACATTTTGTTTGCTATGTAATCTGTACAAAAATATAAATGTATATCTGCTGTACTAAATAACATTTGTAAATGAATTCTGTACATTCATATTGCTTTACAATGCTGATATATA